AGCCACTTGCCAGCTAGATCCATTTCAGTGCCACTGCACAGATATTATCAGGGGCTGAGGCTGGTTCCCAGCTGTGAGCTGGGTTCTAGAGGCATTTATTTCCAAGCACAAGCATTGGCAAAGCTGGCTTGTGCTCCTTGCAGATGTCTATGACGTGGTCCTTGAGCCAAGAGACTGACAAGGGGTGTGAAGAGCAGCCAGGCCTTTACTCTCCTGCATACACACAGGCAGAGAATGTGAAAACATCCACCTCCTCTAATTATACACTGTGGCTTCCAGTACAGCTTTTATAACTCTGGATGGCATGGCAATCACTGGTGGGAAGTGAAACTTTCTGAATTCTCTTTTGCCCTTACGTACTTCATCTATTTCAAGCTCTCCCAGGTAAAGCAGGAGACAGAAGTCATTCCCCAGAGCAGATAAACTCCCTTCTGTTCTCCCATCTAGATACATTTAAATGTCTGCAACTTAATTGCATCATAAAGAATCCCATCCCTTCCCTGGCAATGGTTGCTGAGAAGGCAGCAGTTCCTGTGATGACAAGGGATGGGGAATCAGCGTGAGGGTGCCAGAGGAGCTCAGAGCCCTAAGTGGCCACCAAGGGAGGTTCCATTACCTCATGGTCTCTTCTGGCTTCATGTCTGCTGAGCATGGGCAATGAATATATTATTTCAAAGAAGTGCGTCATCAAAGCATTTCTCTGCATTATTCAGGCTGTCAGAAATAAACCACTGGAGAGCAATGCTAGCTCTAAACATCTAGAGGGATTGAGGAAATTGTGGTTTGCTCACAGTATTTGGGGTGAGGAAGAAAACTTCCTCACTGAGAGCAGCCAACCTTTCCTTACAACCTGTATGACAGGGGTGTCACAGCTGCACAGCACCGTAGCATCCTGTTCTTCCTGTTGACAAACCAGATGGTCCTGATCCACAGGTCTCAGACCCAGCACTTTCCCTCACCATGCTCACAAATCCCTGAGAGTCATCACAGCATCTGCAACCTTCAGAGTAATTCATTTGTGTCGCCCTCCAAAGGGCACAGTGCTGGGGTTTCTGCAAAGACAGGGTTTCACCTAAGAGAAATAATATGCAGTAAGGTCAGTGTTAGCCACCAGTGAGCTGCAGCTGCCTGTGCAAGCCAGGCAGCCATATTCTCTCTCTTTTATTTTCATTTTTTTAAGAACTGTAACCATGTCTACACAGATGCATTTGTCAGGCTCTGCCTACATCCATATGAGAAGCTGTACCTCTCTGTCCCTGTGGATTTAGGGTGATGTGGGGAGAACCCAGAGTCTCATCAAGTTCTGCACTGAGCTTTTGGGTGCCCCATGTCACAACACTCACTGCATTGTAATTGTAAAAAAAGAAAACATTGCAAATAGGAAATGTAGCCCTTTCCTTTCCTTTCCTTTCCTTTCCTTTCCTTTCCTTTCCTTTCCTTTCCTTTCCTTTCCTTTCCTTTCCTTTCCTTTCCTTTCCTTTCCTTCTGTCAAAAAACCAGAAACTACTTTCTGACTGTATGCTTTTAGGAGAAATGAACACCTGAGGGCTCCCTCTCCTGGCGTCATTGCTGCTCTGACCTTCCAGGATAGAGCAATAAATACCAAAATTTCAGCACAGCTGTTATTAAACACAAAGGTTTCAGCTTAACTCCTGCAGTCCCCTTGACAATGTTTCTGGGGCTTGGCTCTCTGCAGGCCCAGGTGAGCCTGAAAAGGAGAAGTCTGAAAAGAGAAGGGCTGGTGCAGGTGGGGCAGCAGCCTGGGATGTGCCCTAAAGCCAGTGCCCGGATTCATCCTCCAGGAGGCTGCCCCAACGGGTCCATGGAGTGTGTAGAGAATTCAGGGGGAACTGTAGCATGTGAAAGTGCAAAATTTTCTCCTTTCTCACACTTGTTCTGACACAGCTTCTCTGGACTGCAGAGCCAGCAGCAGCCTCTGGCCCTACTCTCATGTTCATGGAAGAAGAAATGTTGTAGGTCTGGGTCAACTCAATTAACAAGTGGAAAAAAACTTGTCTCAAATCTTTGAAATTTTTTTATTGCTCAGAGAAACAGACAGGAGAGACTGAAATGCCATGTGGGCAAACAGAACATTTAGAAACCTGAAAGACACTCATCACATGAACAACACATTGTAGATGCATATTAATGTTAAAAAAAAATAAAAACCATTAAGCTGGAAGTACAACCACAAGGGATATTTCTTGAACAAATATCAAGCTTGATATTTCCTGAACAAATATCAAGGAATAGGGGAACAAAGGTCAGCCAACCTGTTCCAAATGTTCACTGGACAGCAAGAGTGAAGAAAAGCTTCCCTGAATTCCTGGAGCTTTTGACTCCTGCAATTATTTCCTAAATCATGTGGAGCGCCTATGTTAGGAATATTAACATTTTAGACAAATGATCTGGAAAAATAAAACAGAGTAGTGTGTACACTGAGAAGAAAGAAGGGCCAAGTGACTGAACTGTTTTGACAGAATGTTTTTAGATTAATTTATCATTTATCTGTTAAGAAGAGCTGCTTCTAGCAGTAGTTCTTGCAAAATGCAAGGTCATTAAAGCTTTCATGTGCCCTACTGTGCAGCAGATAATTAAAGGCATATCTAAAACAAACTCAAAGCAGGAGTTTTGTATGGAGAAATGTACCTGGGTAGCACAAGCATTGAGAACAGGGTACAGTGTGAGAGCCCTCCTGCTGAAATGTCTCCATTTCTGCAGGTACTGAACTGATGAGAACTAACTGAAACCACACACCTACAGATGGCACAACCACATCTTCATTCTGCTTTCAGACATTCTCTGATTCACCCAAGTCTAGTTAGTTTAGTTATTCTGACTGGAGGTGGTCATAAATCTGACCACTCTGGAGAAGGTATGGTACTAGAAACACCTCATGATGATGAGCACATCACCAGAATTCAGAGAGAACAAGCCTGTGCTGTGACCACTGACAGTGATGTGCAGTTCTATTCACAGTTCTGCTGGCCTAAAGACCAGAATTAGGGCCCTTGCTCATTAATGGACCACAGCAACTCCCTACACCCCTTTAGTCACATCTGTTAGCATGAGTAAACATGGTCACATGACAAAGATTTTATTTCCTCTCATACACTGACTTTGCAGGGACTTGTAAGGACTTAAGTTCAGTTAAGCTATTCAAAGATATCCACCAAAGAAATACATGGACACCAGGTGAGGTTAATTTTGCCTTGTGAATGTCCTGCTGCAAACTCTTTGTCAGATGGCTCCTTAGCTTAATTTACACTTTTGGCCCTCAGTAGATCACTGACAAGAAACTTCACAACTAATGAGGTCATACAGTCATAGTTCCCAGTGGAAATAGGATTTTTGACTGTTAAACAGATCCAGAACCTAATGGACACTTTAATTACTACATTCACCATAAATGCAACAGCCTTAATTTTATTTATCCTGAACACTTCACTCCATTAGAAACCACCTTTTCTGAGGCATAGTGTGCACCAAGAAACTAAGAATTGTGTCCATAAGCAGACAGAAGCAAGGAAAGCATGAAATGGAAATGCCCATGCTAAACTGCACATTAATAAATGGATATCCCACTGCAAATCACCTTTTCAGTTATCTCTCTGGTCACAGCCTTACTGGCAGGCACATTCTATCACTCAGTACAACTGCATAGGACTAGCAAGTGCCACAGGCTTTGCAACACCAAAAGCAAATGCAGTGGAGCAACAGCAACTGTGAGATTTATGTCCATGTTGCTCTCAGTTTAGTATGATATGACATGGTACCAACATGAGAACATATTCCTCTTTATGAAGCCAAAAACCATTTGAAATGCCATGTTGCTTCAATTCAGATAAGCGTATCTGCACTGGAAATCTGCTAAGTTCAACTAGTCTTGTCCTCAGTCTGTTTCAGAATAAACATGAGATGATGGTGACTGATATTTTTCTGGTATTTTTGCTCCTGTAAGTTCCTTGTTGAATCATCTAAAGACAAATAACAGCTATAAACCCAGCAAACACTATTCATGTTTAACCATTTACTGAAAAAACATTAAGTATAAAAAGATAGGGAGACTTTTCAGCAACAAAAATGGGAGGTAGACACCTCAGCTTAAGGTGATTTGAAGGCCATTCACAATCTCCCTTGGCACTTTAGTAATTATTAATTACTAATTATTAATCTAAATTTTAAAAATATGATGACAGTAAATGATTATGTCTCTGTTATATACAAAGATAATAAAATCAGAAAATTAAGAGACCATGAGCACCTGTGAAAACAATTCTAAAAAGATTTTAAAAAATTGCTTCCATTTCACTCGTGTGGAAAAAGTGAACAGAAAAATCACTGTTGTTTCTATAAACATCTTGCACCACAAGACACAAGATCAAGAACAAATCCCAAATGCTGATGACCATCTCCTCTGCTCTATCATAGCCTCTTTCTCTACATCACTGTAACACAACTCTACCTCAAATACATGTTTGAGATGTCATGTGTAGGCCACACCCAAGAAAAACAATGACAAACTGCAAGAGAAGAGACAGAATTATACACTACTGTATGACACAAGACAGAAATATTAAAATTTCAAGTGGGAGTCACTGCAAATAAGTGATCTTTAAAAATTCCTCCCGAAATACTCACCTAATTCAGTACAAATCCTGTGCTGTGTAAAAGTCGACATATATTTGCTAAACATTACACTTCAAAATAACTTCAAAAAAGGAACAAAGATTTAAGGTATTTTCAGAGAATTTCAGAGTTGGCAACCTCTTCTGTCAATCAGATGCTCAAATTGTTGTCTCAAAGTCAGTGGTCCATACCTTATCAAAAGCCATAAAATAATTTTAATATTATTCTAATAATAACAACAGTAAGTTTACTTCTGTCTTATTTGCATGAAACTTTCTTTTTAAAGGCCTATGGCTTAGTGTTTACAAATTAAAAAAACCCCTTATAAATACAGAAAAATAAAGCTTAATAGCACACAATATAAAAAATGACAAGTTTCAAACCCATTACATTGTTGTTGTTGAAAAGTGCACGACAATTAATCTGTAGGTCAGAGGCGCTTTGATCATGTTCATATTTTCCATTATTAAATCCTTAACAGTTTTTCATCTTCTCAATTAAATGAGAAATCTTTGATCCACCAAGGTTTTGGATGCCAAATTCTTCTGCCCAAGTGTAGTACGAATAAACCTAAATATCTAAGAACATTTGGAAAACATGTATTAATGAAGAGATACTTACACTAGTATGTTTCAGTATCTAACATAAATAGTAAATTCAGATCATCTTTAGATTGTAAATAATATGAATTAGGTGCTTAATTTCCTTTAGCATTTTTAAAACATTTTCCACTACCTTTCCACCCTAAATTATAATAGAATTATGTGAGAATAATTTTAACAGATATTCGTGTTTTCTGTTGAAAATTATTTGTAACCTCTTCATTCATGATCACCATGTGAACAAAATTAATTTCTCACTAGTATGACCAAAAACCCCAAAACTATTTCATAAGGTCTCAGTATAATCTTCTCTCACTGCACACTGCTAACTCACTGCATTTATTATCTAGTTAACTATTTAAACTGCCATACTGACTCCCATTTAAAAAATTTTACTTTGTTCTTAAATTGGAATTTACCTCTTGTTGCAAATATGTTAGAATAGCTGCTAAAACAAAACTTTGGGAAGCTAAATCCACAACTGAGAAAAACAGGATATCAAAGATGAGCAGTGTTGTTTCATTGCCATAATAGAGAACGTCAGTGAAAGAGTGTCCTTCATCTAGGAAAGAGAACATTTTATTAAAAAAAATTAGTATTTCTGTGAGTTGCAAGTTTGTGGAGTTCATCAGTCCATGTTAAGGAAGATGATAAGAAAAAGGAAGATCAGAGACAGAGCAATTTATAATATTCTATGGTAAAGCAGAGATAGTCCTGTCATTCTACTGAAAAATAATACAAACTTTTCACTTATAAAATGGCATCATACTGATGAACACAATAGGTAAAACCCGTGTGCCACACACAACTCTATTTAATCCTGAAATCTCAATCAAGTTATTTTAAAAAGTTGTTTTAAATCAAGAAGCAGATGTAGCTTCCTTGTCATTGAAAATTTTAGTAGCTGTTAGCTGTGGCTCCAACTCAACAAAATCATAAAAACATATGCAAATGCCTTATTCAGGAGGTTCAGAGCTTTGCATTATTTTTGTTTAATCATTCCACAAACAATGGGTCTTTTAAGGTGAAAGTACCTTTTTCACAGCCAAAGTACTCTAGCCCATTTACCTACCTCAAAATTTTATCAAAAAGCAACATTTCTATAAGAGAAAAGAATATGTAAACAATTACAGAAAACAAACATATTCTTTTCCCTTTTCCTACTTTTTTAAAAAAATATCCAATACAAGTTTGACTGGAAGCAGTGTATTTTCATTACAAATTGTGTATTTCAGTGCCATGGAATCCTGATTTATATCTAAACTTCTGGGAACCATAGCAGTCTACATTATCAAACAATGTATTTCTATCAATGCTTATGATTATGAATTTCATAAATATGTGCATATCTGTCACTTTCAGCTGCCTTAAATAAAAAACATCACAGTCAAATAACTAATTATAAACAGGATTTCTGTAACCTAAAGAACTCCTAAATCCCTCCCTCACAAGTAGTCCTTCAGTGATCTCTCCTACTATAAAGTCCATTTTAGATTGTAAATCCTGGGAAATAAATCTACACAGAAACCACGATACTTAACATAGTACAAATACCACACATCTTTTTACCATTATAAAAAATACTTTTCTCTATTGGTTCCATGAATTCCATGCCAAGAATGCGTTCAAGCAGCAACTTATCTTTGACAATATAATCCATTTCTTTATGAACCTGTAACAAAAAGAAAAGCAACAGTTCTTGTTTTATGATTTCAAACCTGCTACAATGTGAAGTACAGCTACTTAGATCTTTAGGAATGAAACAAAAGCCACTGGTCTATTCCAAGACAAAAATAAGTACATAACAAAAAAGGATTTGTCATTTTTAAGTGCAATCTGCACTGTTGGACAGCACTTCAATTGTTTTGTTTGGTTTCTTTTTTTTTGAATGAAGCACTGTTCCGGATGCCATAAAAACTTTACCAACAAATCTTAAAGCACATATGCTTAAAGAAGAATTATAGTCCTTTAGATTTACAATTTTTAGTTTGTACTTTAAGTATATTTTCCTTAATATAATAATGACAATATACGTACGTGATCAATAAAAGAACTGAGGAATTTGTTCATGGCATTGTAGGCCCTTGTGCTTTGTTCAAAGGTATTTGCAGATGAGTCCAAAAGCCTGGCAGGACCACGTTTCTGAAATACAACAGGACCAAGACTTTACCAGAGAAATTTCATATTTTAAATAAGATTTAAAGAATACCAATATCTCACTTACTCTTGTTAAGGTTTCATGAATCCAGTCATAGTTTAGTCGCATTTTTCTTGAAATGGAAATCTGAAATGTCTGGCCATCTGTGTTTGGTAACAAACCTCTCTGACTACACAGATTTTCCTATACAATTAAAGCAATTGTAAATTAACATTATTAATGTCATTCATAGACCCAAAAATAGTCAAAAGCTTTTCATTTCCTCTCTTTCATGTATAGGTAATAGTTAATATCTCTAAATATTTGAAATCACAGCACTCTTGTTCTACTGCAGCAAGATTTCCTTAGGACATGAAATCCTGACCCCTGCTGTCACAAAGTCATATTTCTCTTTTCACCTGTGTTTGGTTTATTACCTTCTAATAATACATACTCTGATATTTATTCTGAAGACCTTTCTTTTAGGTCTATCATTTCTTCTATACTTGTCTCACTTTTTTTATTTCTCACTTTGTTTTGATTCCTGACTTTTTCCATGTCTTTTTCAGGTCACATTTATTAAATCTCAGAAACCGCAAGAAAATAAAAAATTCAACATCTCCATGGGGAAAACCCCCTGTTTTTCCCAGAATCATATTAAAATAAGCACTTAGGAAAAAAATTGTAGGAACACCTAAAAACATTATTAATAAGATTCCTCTGTATTTCAGTGTTTGCACTTTAATTTTAAATGGTTATGTTTTTTTCTATCTACTCAGCATTGAAACAGCAATATCCTTATTTAAGGTAATTTCATAGTTGTCCCTAAAAAGAAACAAGATGTCATGAAATTTAATGCAGTCTCTGATCTTGTATTAGACATTTTATATTTGCCTGATCTTGCAGCAAAGATATAACATATGACAAGCTATAAAAAATACTTATACAAATTAATTTCTATAAAGCATGGGTTGTATCACCATAGTAGAAGAGATGGAATAAAGGAACTGATTGGCAGATTACAAGTTTCTGTATTGGTGTTTCAGATCTGTCTTTTTACAAAAGCCTTTTGGTATGCACCTTTTTGAATGTGGCTGTGACCTTATGAAAAGCTTACATAATAATAAGAAGGTTCTTAACTACATGAAAAAAAACTTTTTAAGAGAAACAGGAATTTAATATCCTTGAGATGTGAAGAAAAAACAAGATGAAATAGTGAAGAAAAAGAAAGATGAGCTAGTTGAAAGAACTACTGAATCATGTATTTACATACAAACAGCTGCTATCTTTAATAACATGGTTCAGTGTAGGGCAAATATAATGCAAAGGTGTGGTGGTCTTTATATAAAATAAATAATTGAGCAGATATAAACTTGAATACTTTTACTTACTGCTTCTCTCTTCAGGTTCATATTCATTTCTTCCATATTGGTATCTGCATGCCCATGCACTGAGCGACCATGGATGTAATGACCAAAGCAGTTGTGTGACAAGAGAAACACTGAAATCTAAGAGATGAGGGAAGAGAGGACACTTTTATCAACAATTACAACTTTATTTTTGATCTTCTGAATTCATAGCGAAGACCAGTCAAACCAGCCAGTCCTGTTACAAATACAAAATAGGCAGATACCGAAAAAATTACGGGAGATAAATATTTAGCAACTCTTTCACTAATCAGTTTTATCTATATGTAACTAGAAACACATACCAGCTTCAAGTTTAGTTTATCAACAGCAGGGATCTGCTGCTGCCTAATTCCATTGAGACAAGAAATTAAAGCTATTAGAATTTTTTTTTTATTCAAAGGTTATTTCTGTGCTACATAATACATATGCATGAGTCCAGCTGCACTCCTAAAAGACTGCATTTCACAGAACTTCATTCAGTATGATGCAATGATTACATATCACATAAACTCCAAAATGAATTCTTTTCTACAATCCAGGTACCACATAGGTGTCTAACAGAAGAGGAATAACCATGTCTGGAAAGATTGATAAAAGAGGTAAATCAGTGTTTTTAAGAAGTTCTGAACAAATGTGGTAATCCAATGAGTTCTGACTGCACTCTTCTTTGGTTAAAAGGGAATTCCTGCAGTACAAAGCTTCAAAACCCATTTGTAAAGAGAAAGTTCAGATGTGAGTGAGAGAAAATGCATGCAAAAGGTGGTAACTGTTAAAAGGGACAAAATGAAGTTCAGCAGTTGAGGAACAAGCACAAGATAGGAGAAGAAACTGGACATACATGTATTAAATAAAACCAAGACAACTTTCAAGTCAGAAGGACTAAAACACAAACCAGTATACAGAATGGCAGTAAATGGTTCCACACCTAATTTCTGCTACAACTTGTTATTTTTAGGTTCTTTATCAGCACATGTAACCAATTTAAGCTAAAAAAAATAAAAACAAACAAAACACCTAAAAATCAGGTGTTTAAAAGAACATATTGATACCTATACTTCTGAAATAATTTTCCAATTAAAGTTTAACTGAAATCTTGCAGAGTTCATCAATAAAATAAGCTGAAGGAGACATCACCTTTGGCTGTTAGCTAGTAATCTAAATTAAATGAATAAATATTATTTAATATTGTTAACACTATCTTATGTACTATTCTATTTAAAATGCCACAGATGAGACGCAGAAATACTTACATTGCTCACGCAGCACAAATCAACAAACTGGCTTATCTTATCTTCAACAAATCTTTCATAAATCACAGCAAAAAAAATAATCTGAAATAAATCAACCAAATTTTCTTTCATTAGTTCATCAGATTTGATGTTATTAAGCAATTAATTTCAGTACTTAACACCCACAAAAAACAGACTTCTGTAATGGCCACCACTGGACTGGACTTAATGAAAAGAGATTGACATACTACTTCCTTTAAGAAGTAAAGTTGTAGTAAGAACCTGCTTTTAATTTTGAACTTGTCAGATTCTTCAAACTTGTTTAAAATAAAACAAAGTATGTGCATAAATTCACATCTTTGAAAGGATTAAAATTCTGATCCAAAGTCAGATGTCTCATATCTCAGAAGACTCATTTTAAGCCCTAAAGGTGTACTATGCTAAAACAACTAAACATAACAGTTAAGAACATACTCCATGCTATGATAAGCAGTTTGGACAGTCTAGAGATTTATTCTAGCTTCCAAGAACCAGCCTGAAAGTGATAATGCAGGATGTCATGTGTTTCACATACTTGTAGGATGGCAATGGCGACCCAGAGTGCAGCAGACACACCAAATCTTAAAATGCGGCTCCAAGGAGCTACATAGCTCTCACTGCTTCTTGAGAGACTGGAAGAAGCATCCATTAAAGCCAGGTTTGAAAATCCCACCACCTGAAGAGATAAGGAAGTCAATATAACAACAGGTGAGAATGAATAGTATTAATTAGGAACCTGCTGTTTACATCATAACAGGAAGTAAGAAAAAATAATGAAAAACTAACCTGGGAATAGTAGCCTGCTCACCATGACAGAGCTCAATTGTGTGATCCAAAAGTCAATATTGGGTTCTACTAGAAAACTCCAAAAGATTCTACTGCTGTACTGCATGGGGATATAACTTCTACCAAATTTCAGCTCTTTGGTACTATATATTCCAGTGTTAAAGCAAATTTTCATGTGCTTTGCAACTCTTAAAAGACTGATTTATTATGTTTATGTTGCATAGAAATATATTTTCCTTCACCATCTGTATGGTTGAATTTTTTAAACAAAAAAAATCTAGAAAAAGGTCTAAAATAAAAAATACGAGAGGAACTTCAATTATGTGTTGAAGTACTTAAGGGGTGAAAAATTAGTGAAAATCTTTCGTAACAGAAGTTGCACCAAAATATACTTGTGGTGGGTTGACCATTTCCTCATGTCCTAGTGCTTGTCACTTGGGAGGAGAGACACCCACCTCACTACATCTTCCTTTCAGATAGCTGCAGAGTGCAGTAAGAACAGGTACTCTCTTTTCTCCCTCTCTTGTAACTGCACCTAAGTTGGTCCTGGCCTGTGTTTACCAACAGCAAAAATGCTCACACAGTGAAAGAAGAAAGTTTCAGGACTTTCATTATTTAATTTAAAGGAAAAAATTTAAAAGTACCATAAAATTGGATAAAAGTGTTAAAATATGTATAAGAACCTCACAAAAACAACTATATGCTACACACTTTAAGCATACTTCCCAAGATATAAAAAAATTACTAAACTACAAAAGAAACAAACCCAAACATTTTTTAAAAGTTAAAGCACAGTTTCTCACACATCCTGAAGCTGTAACTGGAGGCGTACTGCCATTGGGAACAGAACTGGCACATTTTATTTCCTGCATAATAAAAGGCAGCTGCAGCAATTAGCAGGAAGGAAGTTCAGTTCAGACAAATATGAAACCAGAAATAAAGCTGTAGACTGTGGCAGGAAGGTGCCAGTAGGTAAATAAAGAATCGAGTGTGTACACAGATTTATCAGTCTCTTAAGCCCTTTAAGGTAACTCTTAAGCCCTTTAAGGTAACTCATTACCTTAAAAAAATCCCCAAACGTTACCTCAGAGATCTTTGTTAGATCTCTAAGGTAATTAAAGGTTGGATTTTTTTTTAAGTCTTCCTTAATTAAATATTGCAATAACCTATCCATACATATAAATTTCAAAATTCATTACAATAATTATTTTACTAAGTTACATTATTTCAGTTGAATTTAAAGGTGATTTACTATTACTACACAGAATGCAAGAATTAAACATCAGACCCTTATGTTACACTCTGGTTGTGAATTATAAATAATAATAATAGTAATATTACCTCTAGAAAAAAAAGAACTGCAAGCACTTGAAAGAGAGGATTTATTTTCCTCACTGTCTGAATTTCATTCCACTCATTTGCTATAAAGTATGTCCTCCATATGCTCACAGGTGCAGCAGTACTTTTAGTAACACCTTCACCTAAAAAGAATACATATAGTAAGCTCTAAAATTTAATATCTGAGAGTAATATCTGAATTTCACCAAACTGCTTATACAAACAAGCACAGTTTGAATTACCTTCAACTGCTTTAAGAACTTTGCCCTTAGGTCTTTCCCAGTCAATAAAGAAAATATCAATAGCAAGTTGTGAAACCAGCAAGTGTAAAAATTGCAGAGCCTAAAAGAGAAAAGTAAGGACAGAAACAGCATACACACAAAGATGAAGGAATAGTTATTGCATGGATTATTCATTGAACATAACAAGCAATATCTTGATTGTACATGAGCCTGCAGCTTTATTACCAACTTTTGATAATCTTTTGTTTGTTTAAAAGCTTGGAATAATGTCAACTCCAAAATCATGGAGAAAATACAGCAAAGTAACAAATTACAAAAACCTGACTATTTCCCCATAACATACTAACCTGGACTACAAATTCCAATTCAGTATAATATCCACAATTGATACAATATTTGTGTGTGCCATGAAGACAGAGCAGTGATCTTAGATTTCTACATATTTGAATGTAATTATTTGGATCTCTCTTCTTTCTAATCAGAAACTCACAGCACTTACATTCTGCTTTAAATGGAAGTACTTGTTCTCTTGATTTGATGCTATTTTATTTAGGTTTCTTTATACCTTTATCATTGAAAGAATGATTTTTCAGTCTTTCTTTTGTGACCTTCTTGAGACATTTATTTTCCTATAAAGACTCCACAAAATAAATTTCTATGGAAAAATGACTTAATTCTCAGAAGAACATAATTATTAGGACATAACATCCACACACTAATAACTAATAACTGTACAAGATATTTAAAAATAAGCCTACTGAAAATAGGATACATACATAGAAGCATGCTGACATGTATTTTATGGTGAGGAAAAAATTATTTACCTTTAAACTAAATGCACATGCTATGTATGTAACAAAATCTTCTTCTTGAGATGGAAGAGGTAAAAGGACAGATACAAACTGCTGAGCCTATAATTGAAAAGTTACAATGAAACAGTACATGTGGAACGTGACAACATAATTAAAAATGCTAAAATGTGAATAAACTTTCCAGAAAAAGATCAATGAATGTGTAAAATATTTTAAATTACTATTAAGCAGACTGCAAGTACAACAAATCCTAAGAAAAAGAAACAGATGAACACAAAATTTAAGCACACAAACCAGAATGATATATAGAACTTGCCTCAACAGTCTGACAAGAAAAGAAAAAAAAAAGAAAAAAAAAAGAAAATTAATGTCCATGTAAAAATATATTTAATATTACTAGGTTTTCAGACATCCAAAACTGGAAGAACACTTACTTTGAAGAATACAAGCCAATAAATTCCTGTGCCCACTGTGATGATAAAGAAAACGTTGGCAAGGTCTCCAGCATAGAACAGTAAGAACTTGAAAACTGTCTGCAATTATAAAAACACACTGTAGACATCTGTAAAACTAATTAAGTAATGCATATGCTCATAATGCATTCATAGAAAATGCTATGTAGCTCACACAGGAAACTCTAGTACTGAAAAGTAGCCCTGAACAAAAGCTTTCCACTGTGGTTATATATTTATGGTATTTTCACTAGCTGAAACTCCTACATGCTGGTTGTTGTTCAAGGAAGAATTAATCTGAAAACAGAGTCTACTCAACTGATCAGAATAGCCCTGTAAACACCTCTATTTTTAGAGCAGCTTTTCCTCAATGACAATATCAGAATCAAACAGAATGCAAAACAACTACTTCCTCAAGTGAGCCTAACTCTGGGGCACAGTTCTGTGCAGCTAGGCTAGAAATTATTTCAGTTACCTTAGGAAAATGAACTGTTACAATCACAGGGAATGACAGCTAAGGTGCCCTTAAAGAGAGGAAGAGCTGTCCCATTTCAGCTTGGCAGCTGTCCATACCTGCAAGTCAATTATAGAGCTTCCTGTCCGCCTCTTCCAGCCTGCAGTCTTGAGAAGAGACCATAGCACTGCCAGTCCACCCAACACACCCAGTGCAATCTGAAAATAACAAAAAACGATTTGCAGATATTTTTAAAGGACAAAATATAGAAGTAAATCATTATATCGACAAATTAAAGGGAATTACAACTTACATCAGTCTGAATCTGAGCCTCTCTCTGATTCATCTCATAGCTGACTGCGAAAGAAACCTGAATATTAAAATACAAAAAGTAAATATGCATAGTAATTCTGAAGTGCTACAACCACTATAGACAGCTTTCAGTTTTAATTGGTGGGAATTCCCATCTAGGGCTACTATACAAGTATCACATACACCGTTTTACTGCAGATGACCTGGTGTGCTCTGTTGCCCTGGTGTGCTCTGTTGCCAGGCCCAGTACCAACTATGCAACTCTTACTGCAGATTTTACCAGCAGTAATGCTAGGGATGGGTGCCTGCCATCTGCAAGTTACCAGCTATACCTATTTGTAATTCTTTCAAATGTGCATGGATTTTTCCTCCTGAAAGGAGACTCTGAATGTCTGATACTACCCCTTTCATCATTGATTAAAGGTAACCTTGATGTAATTAGACCAACATGCAAAATCATGACAGGCTTCCACAGCTCAGATACTAGGGGTTTTTTTCAGCTTGAATGAAGTAAAAATTGTCACGCAGCATCAAAATTGTTCCCTCTAGCTTAAATTTAACCTAAGATCTCTTTTGACTTTGGTCTGAAAAATTTGTGCATGGAAGAGAAAAGGTTTGTCTTGGTTTTATAATATTCTGGCCTGAGTCTTTATCCCTGTACAGCTAAAATTAACACAAGCATGATAATAAATACTATTTCTAATTGAGTTTAAAAGAAGCATCACCCCCACCCCCAAAACCAATCCCTCCTTCCCAACATCTTGTGTTCCCCAAACATTTGTTCCTGTCAGACCTCCTTGTATCACTGCACTTGGACTGAAGTCTAAATATCCTCAGTTACTACAAGCTCAGTGCTTACAGAAACTGCAAACAAAATTCAATGTATCTTTTTAGTTGCATAAAATTTGTTAAATACAACAAGATATCCAAAATTGGCAATACTCAAATATATCCCACAGATCTAGATGTAAGGATGAAATAATATGACAGAAAATTGAGGAACTGAAAACAATTGTTCCTACCATCTCTATTTGGATTAATTACTTTCTAGATACAGTGCTGTCTCAGTGGTTAAATAAAGACATCAGTTAGGCAGGAAAAAAAAGGTCTTGATTTTTCTATCTTTCTAATTCTCTTGCTTTCATGCAACTAATATGGAACTCAAGGAATGCTTCTAGCACCACAAATTTCTTCTAACCAGATGTCTATTTGTACTGGAAGTCTGAACAGTTGAAGGCTGACAAGCAGAAAATGCTAATATTAATTTGTTTTTTGTTCTACCATCCTAAGATCAGTATTTTTACTTTTTAAAGCAGTGTGATCTAACATACCAGCAAGAGAGAAGAATGGGACATCTGTGCCGCTGCCCATGAAGGCAAACAAAAGGGCAAGTAGGAAATGTCCCTCCTGCATCTGCTACAGCAGAATTTGTTGGTTTTCAGTACAGAAAGATGAAATACTAAAGGATGTTTTAAATATATTACCAATACTTTAACGTAAACTACAGGTGATCTGAAATGTTTGTGTCATAACAACCTCCTCTAAATGCATTGTTCTAAATAAAAATACTAATTCCTTGCATAACTTGCTTGCAGTGCTCCTTAGAGTCCTTTATCTATTATTTTGTGTGTATAACTTTATTTGAACTGTAGCCTAATTTAGCATTATAAAACCAATTTCAAATTCCAAGTGTTTTAAGTTAAAAAAGACTGAAGATAAACTGAAAATAGTAAGAGTTTTAACTGATTTGTTTTAAAAGGTTTTAGTAAAAACTTATAACTTCAAAACTGATCAGAACTAGAAACTGCTTATTAAATTTTTATAACCCACTACCAAAAACCAGAATTCCAACAGAACTAAAAGTATGATTAAGGTGGCACAAAGATCTCACCATCACACTCTGGGTTTCAGGGTTTTGGACAAGCACATCTGTGTAAGCAACAGTAATGAGAGGAGGGTAGATGGTTCCTCTCTGTGTATGGGATACCAGACGGATACTGCAGAAATACAGAGCATGATTATTAATAAAAAACCAACTGGATGAGTGCTTGGGAAGCAATCATTGAAATTTGTAAAAAAAACCTAAATGAACAGAACGACCTGATCAATAAAATGTGAATTTTTAACTCAATAACATGGCACTTCACATTTTAAATGTACAACTGGAGTGTACAAAGGCATGTACAGAAATATATAAAAAAGTAATGGGAAGGATTGTTTACTTGTAAGAAAATACCTGAATCAATCTTTACCTGTCTGCATCTTACAGGAGGACATCACATAAAGGAGAAAAAAAGTTTCTTCCAAAATATATTCCAGTTGAGATGAGCAATCAGTACTGACCCTAACAGGAAGTCTCTCAATTTTAGTCAAATGACTACAAGTCTATTCTGGATTGTATAACAGAATAGGCAACTGGTTGTAAAAATACTGCAAAAAAGAATATGGAGTATGAAATAGGATCCTTGTATAGTCAGCAACACACAAGTTGAAAAACAAATAACAGAGGAGTTTTTTGGTCTTTCCAGACAAAACTTGCTTCTAAGAGGAGCCTGAATACCTGCTAACTTGCATTATGCAAACATGGTCTGATCCTTGTACCCGGAAGGGAATCATGGTGATTTTAACTCCCACAAGTCAAGGTTGTTTTCTTTCACTCATCCAAACAACCTATGGAATTTCATTCCATTCCCAAATATGCAATTGAAAAAGCAAAACATATTACATATTAGACATATTAGAAAATACATAACAAAACAACTTTAAGACAATAAAATGCAGACTGTACAACATTGGCTTAATTTTCTATGTACTATATATTATATGAGTTAATCACCTTATTGTTATTTTGCTAGCAATCCGAATTACCCTTGGTGGTTTTCCCAAGTCATTCTCTTTTCCACTAAGTGCATCCACCAAGAAAAATCGACGAGTCAGAAGCCAGTTGTTCATATTACTGCCTAGAAAACATGACAGTTTCACACATACAAAAAGAATGAAATGTATGAGAAACAAGAAATATAATTGTATAACACACAGTAACTACTGAGAATCTAAAATTGTTTATTTTCAACTTATACAAATATATAATAAAATGAGATTATTTTATTCATGCATATTACTGATTGGAATGGTGTATGCAACCAAAGCTTGCACTAAAACAATCAGAACTTGATCACAAATACTAAATTTGTAAATAGAAACAAGTTATGGTGTGTTGTGGTATCTTTAAACACAACACAGTAACAGTAGTTAACACAGATTATTTCTATTTGAAGTTTTGAGATTGTTTAAATTCATAGAGATGTTACAATCACCATCTTACCTTGATTAACAAACTTTTCATTGTATTGAAGATTCAAATTTAAAACTGGCACGGCCCAAAGGTGTTGCTGTCCATTGCCACCATTATATTCAAGGAACAGGTCATAAAAAACAGGATTGGCAAAATCCAATAAAATCTTAGAAACTGAAATTTTGCACTACAAGAAAAAAAAGTGAAAATTAAAAGATCACTTTAACTATTCAGATAGCTTGCCAAGCTGTGGATTCCTTCCCTGCAAAATTATTGTGGAATCTGTCCTACTTCTTCACAAAAGAAAGAATCACAGAATCATCAAGGTCCTGCATGAGCCTCCATTTCTCCAGGCTAAATATCCTCAGCTCCCTCAGCTGCTCCTCACAGGACTTGTGCTTCAGCCCCTTCACCAGCTCTGTTGCCCCTTTCTCTATGCTCCAGCACCTCAATTTCCTTTTGAAGTGAGGGGCCCAAAATGGGGCACAGCACTCAAGGTGTGGCCTCACCAGTGCCAAGCACAGAGGGCAATCACTGCCCTAATCCTGCTGGCCACACAGTCCTGGTACATGCCAGGATGCCATTGGCCTCCTGGGCCACCTGTGCTCATGTTTGACCAGCTGGCTGTTGACAAGCAATCCCAGGTCTTCTGCTAGGCAGCTTTCTAATGACCCTTCCCCATGAGGTGGTTGTGACCCAAGTGCAGGACCTGGCACTTGGCCTTGTTACCTCACACCATCGGCCTCAGCCCATTGACCCAGCCTATCCAGATCCCTCTACAGAGCCTGCCTGCCCTCCAGCAGGTCAACACTCCCACCCAATCTGGTGTCAGCTGCAAACTTGCTGAGGGGTGCTCTGGATCCTCTTGTTGAGATCATTAATAAAGATGTTAAACAGGACCGGCCCCAGTCCTGAGCCCTGGGGAACACCACCATTGACCAGCTGGATTTAATTCCATTCACCACTCTCTGGGCCAGACATCCAGCCACTTTTTCACCCCATGAAGAGTGCACCTGTCCAAGCCTTGAGCAGAGAGTTCCTTGAGAATGCTGTGAGAAATGGTGTCAAATGCTTTACTGAAGTACTGGCAGACAATGTATTCCAGCTGCCTGCAAGCAATTACCCAGTACTAATGATTTTATGCAAACTTATTGGAAATTATTGCAATTAACTACAATGACTAATGTGGAGAATGAAGCTCTTAAAATTTTTCAATAGATTTGGAAAAACATCCTAGCAAACCTCACAAACATAAAATTTGAAACAGTGTAAACATTACAGTCAAGAAACATAAATGCTGAAGTCATGAAATCTGGTTCAGGGCCCACCAGTACAAGAGAGAAATTAGACTACTTGATACAGTCCAGCACAGGCCACTGTGGGGAGGGAGAGACTGAAACATCTCTGCTATGAAGAAGAGCTGAGACTCTTTTGCCTGGAGATAAGAGGGCTCATGGGATCTTATCAATGTGTACAAATATTGTACAAGGGAGGGTGTGTGAGACAGAGCCAGGCTCTTCTCAGCAGTGCCCAGTGACAAGAGCAGAGGCACTGGGCATAAACTGAAACAGGAGGCTCCCTCTGAGCATCAGAAGACAGGTTTTCACTGACACAGGCTGCCCAGGGAGGCTGTAGAGTCATTCCCTGGATATATGACCATGTGGATATGGTCATAGGCAACCTGCCCTATATGGCCCTCCCTGTCTTGTGGACAAGACAGCCTCCTGAGGTCCCTGACTCCCTCAACCACTCTGTGATTGTGTGAAGAAGTTAGATGTGAAAGCAGGTAACATTTTGCAAATGTGAACAACCATGCATTTTAAATACTCTTATAATTTGTCAAGCCTATTTTCTCCAAAGCCACAGAGGAAAAACAAAGTAATGCATATAATGGAAAAAAATGATATTAAAAAATACTCAGTAAGTTACTGATGCATCTATTCAAACCCAACAATGTTAACTGTTATTAATACAAGTAATACAGAATCAATATCAAATACTCAAGATTTTAAAAAGAAAAAAAGCTACTCAACTAGTTCAATGATCCTAAATAGAACATGTTTTCATTCTATCTGAAATACTGAAATATGGATTAAACATTAAACAATATGAAAGATATCGTTAAATATCTTGATAAATGAAAGTATTTAACAAAGATTTGTCAATGTTATTTGGTAAACACTTTAAATTTCCCAGAGTAAGCTCTGACAGCTATTACCTTCTAAGACTTTCACACCACCTAAATAGCAGCCAGAGTTTTGTATTTTCACACTTCAACACATCATGTGGGGAATGGTTTTCAATGTTCGATGGCTAATAAACAATATTAATATATAGGTATGAGATGCTGTGCACATATATGGAGTTGTATAAAGATGTTTCTTTCTCCACTCCTTTGCCAGAGACTACCACCTTCCCATCTAACCTATTAAGTGACAAAAATTAATCATGCTTTATCACTGGCAGAACCATTTCTGCAGCTCACATAATTTAGTGTTCTATTCCCTCTTCCTTTGCTGGTGTTTAGTAAAGTGTGAAAACCCCAACAGTGTTTTTTCATAGTTAAGACAGCCAAAGAATCTCCTTCCTCTGATGAGTCATCTGTTCGATTAAAATAGATTTTCAATCTCTTCACAGAATTCCCCCAAAATCAGGGCATACTATAAAGAGTAAATGGGAACAATATTCAGGCATGGCATGACTGGATTTGCCTTCTTTCCATATGAAAACAGCCCAAAGAGGGTGGTAGGAAAATTTGGAGATATGATACAAAGTCTATAGCTGTCACAATTCAGGCTCTGTGTTCTTCCACTGCAAAGTCAGCAACCTCACAAATACAAATGCCAGTTTAATGTACTGTGATTATGCTATGTAGTAAACAAGTTTTGTGATGTAGTTAAATAATTTAAAAAAACCCCTGCACTAATTTAATTCAATTTCCCAAGAAAGAACTCCATGTTGCAGCTTATGCCTAAACTCCAAAGGTTCTTCAACATGCACTGAGTAACTAATGACATAAAAGGCAGCTTAATTCAAAACTGAAAATAGCATTTTATATCTTACTTACATTTTGTTGATAAGTTGTTCCAAAAACATAAGCTGCATTCAATTTAGTTTGGGTATCAGGACAAAGCTGAATAAAACATAGTTATAATTAGGTTGATTCAAAGGTATCATCTTCTCAGGTGAAAAATATTTACAAGTACTTATGCATTAAGAATTCTCACAAGATTTTTGTAAAAAAAATTTAATAAGAGAAGGATTTACTTTGGGGTAAATACAATTATTTATTTCACTAACACAAAAGTGTTTAAAATGCTGGTTTAGCTTATTCATACTTGCATAGTATTTTTCAGCTCCATCACTAAAATCTGTGGACAGCAGCATCCAAACAGGCAAGAATAATCTTTCTGTGGACTGAATGTTCAGTGCACTGTATTGCCTCAAGCTCAATCAGAGGCTTCTACTAAATTCAAGAATCCCATAAGAAAATAAGTCCACATTCATACAGCCCGGTTTCTCTTAAGCTAGTATTCTCAGAGAATCAAATTTGTAGCAAGTAACAGATTTTTTTTCTTTTTTTAATACAACACTTATATTTTCAGCAAAGAATTTCAGATTCAGCTGAATCCAGAAAAAATGGTCCAAAGTCTAATGTGGAGGCCAGAGCCATTTTCCCAAAATGAGAATGAAGTCTAAATTTGCATAAAACACAATTCTATTAGTGGGAAACTGAAATTCTGGGAATTGCTACAATTATGCATTGAGACCACTTTTAGCACTGTGATGTCTTATCATCATGCACAATCTATTACATTAAAGGAGGCTTTGAATTGAAAAGCTATTCCTTTCCCATTGGCTCTTGATAGCTGTTAAAAGCTTTTCCCTAGAAAATAAACATGCCCCAATAAACCTAAACTTATATGTCAGAATATGTAATTTTCTATGCATGGTACCTGTAACCTGTTCTCATTTCTATGCATAGTGCCTTAGTAACCTGTTCTCTTAAACACTAGTTTTCCTTAAAACTGGAGACACAGACACAAGATGGCTCATCCTGAGGCAGTAACAAAGTAAATCATGAATGTCAGCTGCTCTTCTACAAACACTGAAATGTTTGAAGTGATGTGCTCCAACAGAAAAGGAACCAACAATTCCCAATTGTTCTTGCTAGTGTTTCTATTGTTCTCTGTCTGGGAAATAGTGAGAGTGCCTAGATTGCCACTGGACTGCTAAACAAATTCTATTCTGTAACATGCTGCAGCTGCTCATTGTTCTCTCTGATAGACTAATTACTATTGCACTTTCTAATTGCTGCTTACTTGCATTTTTCACAGCCTAACTGCACAGTGTGGTAGTGATGAAGTACAATGTCTGTGTCCCTGACATCTGGGTGTAGTGGCCAAGGGCACTGCCAGCCAGTCCCCCCCATTCTATGTAAAGTCTCCCATCATGTATTTATAACTTTCTGTTATGAAAAAGGGACATGCTGGTCATAGCGTACATTTCATAGTTAAAACAAAAAGAAATAAGCAAGCAAAAAAATACCAAGACAATGCAAAGAAAATGGTGTAGATCAGCTTTCCTACCTCCCTTGAGAGTGACATAACCATTGATTTGACTGTCACCCCCATGATGTGTGCAAATAGTTGACAGCATCTAATGGGGACATACTCATAGCATCATCTATAAACACATGTGGACTCAGAGCTAAAGAATACACTTTTCTCAACAAGAGGTTTAATAAGAAAACCTGAGCAATAAGAAAGGTTTAATAGGAAAACCATGAGCAACTATGCTGAATAGAAGACACAGATAGCTGGTTCTAAATGATTAACACTATGTTTCAGAGCTTTTCAATATGCCAGATTTATACTGGTCTAAAGGAAGGCAGTGTTGATGAATTTATACTTCTGATTTTGTAGAGATCATTGTGAGCAAGAATAAAGAGCTATTTTCCCTATTCTAGTGCTACAGTTATGAACGGTCACTAGTGTAATAACCAAACTCTTGGCTTTTGTCTTAATTTGGCTAAAGGCACTCAGAACATTGTGTTATCAAGAGAAGATAACTATAATCATACATACCTGTAAGAGACCTCCTTCCAAATTTTGCCACTTAAGAAAGTTTCCTGCTGCATCAAATGAGGCTGCAATAAATTTCAGCTTTACATCCTGTTGATGAAAAAAAAAGGTAAAGACCAATGAAACTGCCCTGAAGTGGACATACACTCTTTAGAGACTGCTGTCATCAATTGTGCGATGTTTCCTAAAACTTTCAGCACAATCCTTAATTTTTTTTCCCCTTTTGATTTTGTTTTTAATTTTGGGTTTGGTAGTTTACTTCTTTACAAAAACATACCATTCTTCTACAGCTTCATTGGTGACATGGAAAAAAGGAACTTCTACACACGTACATATGCCCTAACCTAATCAGGAATCTATGCAGATTTCTAATGTATACAATCCTGGAATCTAGAGGGCTTCCAGGACCTTCAGTGTTAGGAGGAACAACAAGTATTTCAGTTATTAAAACAACTGCTACATTGAAACATTGTTTAATTTAAAACATAGCCTTGTAGAATATGGCTGAAAAAGGCATAATAATTTTATTTTTGAGTCAATATGAAAACTCTAGATAAATTTGGCAGTATAACTGACAAACAGGTTATCACTAGTACTATTTTCTGTGATTAGCTGAACTTGAATAACCTATTTCAGTTATTCTATTTTACAATTAATTTAGAAAAATAAATCACTTTATTGTTTGATTGACTATCTGATTTCTTCATAAAAATGTGCTAATTAACAAACTACTGAAGCAGTCCATCCCTCCCAGGGACATATATCTGGCTTTGTTAACCTTAAAATTATTTTCCTCACCTCTTTTTTTCCCATAATTCACTGCAGTAAGAGGAAAAGGCTGGAGCAATACACTGAATCCATCTCTGATACAATCAGCTTGTAGAGATGTGTAACAGAAATATTAGAAATAAATTGAGTAGGGGGAGAAATGTGTGTATAAGCAACAGAAAGTGTTAAACACCACATAAAGGTGATGAAGAACACTGTTTTCAGCTACAGAGCTGATAAATGGGTTGTGATAAAACCTGGCACAGACAACTTGTCAGCAAAAGACCCAGCACTTTGGCACACCAGGAGGGTGGCAGTAAAAGACACAGCACATCATATTTACCCCTCTTTTTCACATGAGTTCACCATGAAGTCTGACAAAAGGATGTATGTATTTTAAAAAAAGTCAAAGATCAACTTTGCCTCAGATTTATGAAGATGGAAGTAAAAACGACTCTGAAGCAAAAGGCAGCGTCAAAACAACTATGAACTCCTAAAGTGTGTAAAAGGTCTGTCTGGTTACTAGTTTACCACCCCTAATCCAGATCCTTGGGGACACAATGAACACTTAAAGCTGGCATCCTTTGTTCCTTGTGCCCTGGTCAGACCACACAGGCAAGCACATCTAGGCCTTATGAGAACGTCAGTATGAGAGTGTAAGCAAAGGAAGAGACCAGACATTATTTTAGATAAATATCACCTTCCTCTTCCATGAGATCTCACACTGAGTTTTGTTACACTAACTGCCTAAAATTCACCTTTAGTAGAGTCACATCTATAATAAATCTAAACATTTTATGTGATATATGTCCTCTTCCTAATGGATGCTTCCCTATGTCTAGTACCCAACACCTACCTTATCTGTTCCCTTAAAAGTGAAGGTTGTTGGAAAATGATTTTTCTCAAGCACTTGGGATGCTAATCCTGGTTGGTCACCATAATACAGCCATGGAAGATTATGCCTCCTGAAACAAATTACAATGTTTTCTCTAATGAAACATAGTATTTTTCATCAAAGAACATTTAGAATAATAAATTCCATACAAAGCTATTAAAGACCAAAAGTTATGGAAACGGCAACTTACCAGTAGGGTATTGAATGAACGACGCCTACCCTTGCTGTACTGACAAAAATATATTGAAACAAACCACAGGCATCAGTACTTGAAGAACTCAATGAGTTCATATTCATCACACACATATTTCCAAGAGCTTGGCATGCTGTTAGATTAGAGTACAACTGCAGTGGAGAAACAAGAATACAGAAAAAAAGTATTTAATTGCTCCTTCCTTTTGTGAGGCAGTCATAAAATGATAATGTTTTCAGAAGCCACTCCTAAACCTTTATGCTCACTTGTAAGTAATTTTATTTTGTCAATATCTGTCAATATCTAGTATTTTCTTTCAGGTATTCAGGTACCATATTTTTGCAGATCTGCATACGGAAGCATGAAATCAGTACTCTCACTTTTTCAGCTTATTTTAGTTGCATCCTCTAGATGGGAAAAAGTGACAGAAATGTCCAAATCTGCACTTAGAAAACAAAGTAAGAATGAAAATGTTTAATACCACTTAGACTGTATGGCAAAGACTACTCCTTCAAAGACCTCAGACTGACAACTATAGATGCATGTAGTATTTTCAGTTTCATGTACCTTGCTCAGTTTTGGTAAACACACCAGTGCCAAGTGCTATGCAGAGGTGACACCTGGCATCTGTGTGCAGGGGTCATTGCACTGGTATTAACTTGCCACCTCCTTACCCCCGTTTGTGTGGGTCAGACCAGCAGCTGCTCATCACATGAAGGCAGCATCTCTGAATGGCTGAGCAGGGTGAGGCAGACAAACAGGATAAACTGATGCCAGTGATAAAGAATGGGACCAGTGGGAGAATTCATCTCAGAGCCGTGTGTATGAGATGGTGATAGGAGCAGCAAAGATGATCTGGGAAGATTCTGAACAAAAGTCTGCTGAAATACTGAGAGAACATCTGCCAGCCAGGGAACATGGTCTGGGAGTCTGAAACATGCTTGAGAAGTTCAGCTGGGTACCTGAACTTCAGAGACCTCCTGACATACCATCAATAAGCATGAACCCAAGGAATTGTAACAGCAACCTATCATCTGGAAAGATGAGAAAGAGTCTAGAGAAGGGTTAGGATTTAGAAGAGGGAAAACATTCCAAAAGAGTAGGAATAGGCAACTGCTATTGATGGCTGTACATTAAAGAGTAGGAAAACAGTCTGGAAAACACAAAAACTAGCCTGAGATATAAAACGTGGTCATCTCTTGGCTGCTCCAGGTGGTGCTGCCCTACACCACCTTATGTGTCACTGATATAAAAACTACTTTTTAACCAAAATGGAGAGTGAATCTGTCCCTGCCTCTCATCTCTCTCAATCTCTACACACAGAGGAGGTCTCTTACACAAACTTTTCTATGAGCTCTCCTAGGCAAGTTACCAGGCTGCGGCTAGGGATGCCTGACTGCCTCTAGATTGTTGATCATCTTTGAAGCAAAACTTCATCTGTCATCAGTTTTGAGGCCCCACTCCTGGGAGTGGTTTCTTGAGTACTGTACTGGTACTATTTGGAATAATACACACACACATGGGTAATTCATCATAAGTGCCTTTGCTGCTTTCCTAGTGATCATTTTGTAGCAACTTGTAATATTGAAATATATGCCTGCTGCTGCTATTGACTGCTGCTACCACTGGAGTACATATATACCTGCTTTACTAATCATAACTAGTAATAACCTGCAGTAATCTCTAATAAAAAATTTTAGGAAGCAAGACTCCATGTGCTTGTGTATTACAGAATCCTGCAAATCCATATTGTGCTCTTTAGAGACTTCTTGACCTGGCAATCCTTTGGGTTGTGACAGATAGGGAACAGAGACAGATAGTAGAACCTAAGAAGTTAAAATCTGATCTTCAGGAGAGCAATACAGAAGGAAAATGAGAATGTGTGATAAGAGTTGATAAAAGGGAGCAGAGACACATGCCCTTCACAAGTGTCTGTAACTCTGTTGCCAAAGCCACTCTTTTACCCATGGTTACTGTCACCCAGAGCAACATAATGGTAAATAACACTTGCATACAGAAAGCAAAGCAAAGCTAAAAAGGGTGGTTCCATGGTTATGAATAACTGAAAATCAACTAAGAGGTAAAGACCAGGTGCCAGTAAATACTGAATATGCTCATTTATATCCAAATATGTGGATAGTAGGTTAGATACTACTGAATATTGAAGGACTTTTTCTTTAACACCATTCATCTTGTGAAAATTTCAACACTATAGACTTGCATTAACATTGACTAGCCCTCAATATTTCTAAGCATTTTCTGGATATATAATTATTTCTTTTCTATTCTCATCCAAAATAAAATTCTTCAAAGATACGCAGGGTAAGTTCCAAATATAAAAGTGACATGCTTTTATAGAGTACCATTCTGTATAAAAAAGCAAACTGCAAACATTAGTGAAACTCACCCAACAGGCAAAGGCTGAGGACTGAAGGTTTTTCACAAACCAAGCTGATGCCAGTGTTACACCCTGTAAATAAGGAACTTTTTCATTATCTTTGTTCACAACAACTCCTACACAATGTAACAGTCTGGAAAACTCTGTCAGCTAGAAGATGCTGCATATTTTTTTTCTAAGACCATTCTGTCACTTGTAAATATCTCAGTCTAACAATATTAGTTCAAAACACAACCATAATGCAATAATTTATTTCACTTCCCTAAATTAGACAAAGTATACAGGAAAAGAGCTGAACTATTTAAGCTTTGAATATGGATTCCGTGATGCAGAAGTTTTCTTTACCACACAAGGGAAGTACTAACAATTTCAGGGGTAAGATGTTGACTTGATGGAAAATCTAACTCAGGATCAAATTTGCCAAATTAATTAGTTCCTCCTTTTTATAATCTTTTTTATAACTACTCGCATTTGAACTACACATAGCTTTCATACATACTGGAAGCAACTGAAAAGACATATTTTCAATAAAATATTACTTAGAAGATGACATTTTCAGGCAGCAAATGAATGTTTGATATCTGAAAAACTGAAGACTGCTTTTCACTTTCTTTCAAGTGGTAGCTTTTAACATGAACTCATTTAGGAGCAAAATACATTTCTTAGCCACATAGCATTTCCTGAATTCAGAACTACTTGGAAAATGGTCTTAATTTTGATCAGATTTCACATTTAATGAAAGTTCATTAACTAAAACAATGAAAACCCTTCAATCTTGTAAATAGAACATATTTTCATTCATTAGCCAATTCAAGGAGTTCAGCAATTTCACAGACAATCTCAAACTTTATAGGTGCCCATTTTCTTCTATAAGCTCTAAGATCAAGCAGTAAACTCAAGCCTTGTATTTTTTTCAAATGTTTTACACAAATACATATTTTATATAGTACAAAAATCCAGAGGCACTCAGGGACTCTTCAGCATCTTTTTGTGATACAAGAGTATGCTTTAAATGCACACAATTAATACAAAAGGTCACATGCTACTAGTTTTGATATTTAAGTAATGTCAATTACTTCCCCTTTTCAGTATCCAAAACAGCATGAATTTTTAAAAGCTTACTCCATTATAACAATGCTTGCTTGGCGTCCATACCTGCACTCTATCTTGATGCAAATGATCTTGCCATCACTGGGATCGGACAAAAAATGGGAATTTGAAATATTTACTGAAAGTAAGTAATGAGAAAGCTTAAAAGTGTTTTAGAATAAATACACTTACTAGCTGTGCAAAACGAACAGCTGCAACTCCCTTTGGGGGTAAACCTTCACGAGCCAAGAAACACAACCCACCAGTCTGAAAGAAATATAAGAATAAAAAAATATTAATAAGCTATTGATACACTTTTTAAAATAACTTTTCTTTTTCTGAACTTCAATACAATAACCATTCTTCTGCTTACTAGAATGTTTGGGCTGTTGCAGTCACAAGACTTGCTTACTTGAATGAATGTCTCTTCACATCTTACACACCTATGGATCACAAACACAAAGAATGCACTTAAAATGTAATTAAGTATAATATTTAGTCCTCAGAGAAAGCTGATTACATAGCATGCCCAGGAACAGCATCAGCAACTTCACTAGTTTGAATTGAAATTCAGAAGTGATTACTGATTTGTTTCTACTATCAGTGAAGTAGAAAACAAATCAAATAATAATATATCAGAATAAGAATTCTCTTCTGCTTCCAATCCAAAGCCTGCTTTTGGCTTTGAAGAAGCCAAAGAAGAACCATGCTGCTGGCCGGCCATGTAAGGACTCCAGTAATCACCAAACATGGTGGGTTTGATACAGGGTTGAGGATTTCCAATTGCCTGCCTTCAAAACTGTCATCCCAAAGGCAGTCTGTTCCTCAGGAGTATTCCATTTAAACTAGCATGACACATTTAAATTTATCATCACAAAAGGCAAAGAGCCCCCACCTGCTTCCTGATGCATCTGAGGCAGAGAAGGACTGCTCACTTCCATTACAAAGTATGCACAATGCTTCATCAAGCAAAACACCATCCACGCTTCTTTCCACTGAACAGAAAAGAAAAGTGAGTCTGATAAAACTGCCCGATGCAGTGTCACACAGTTCTAGATAAATGTGAAAAAATTCAGCATCTGTAGAGATCTAAAATCAACTCAAAGAGTTTATTTTGAAAAAATCAAGAGCACAACATGCAAATAACATCCACTATAAATGCACATTCATGCACATCCGTGTGCACTGCTTATAGGTGTGCACATGCAGTTTAGTTTTAAATGAGAAATGCAACATTTCATGTCTAGTTTGGCTGTTCCACTGTTATTTATTCTGAATAAGATTCAGACAAAGGCCTCACTGCAAAGCAAAAATTCAAAACAAGTTTGCAAATTACTGGGAAAAAAAAAATTACATTTCATCTGAAATGATTCATGGAAATGTCACAATTTCCAAGTTTCAAAACTGCATCTTCCACCAACTATATCATCTGACAAGAGATTTCAAATCTAATTATTAAAAAAAATCCAAAGAGCATAAAAAAATACAGTACTAATGTTCTTCCTGCATGTCAAATTACAGAATCAGCTTTCCTCTCAATATTTTACCATAAAGGTCTGGAATTATTTTGTAACTCTCATAAAGTTTCAGGCAGAAGACTGGTATTCAGTGTTTTCCAGATTCCTAGGAAAATTTAAAATTATTGATCTGGAAAACACTGATTCTCCAATATATTCTGTCAGAAATATAACCAAAGTGGACATTTGTAATTCTTATTCAGAGAATTACAGGCATTCCACGTCTTTGAAAATAAGGAAAACTAAAGGTCCCAAGAGCTTTTATGTTTTACACCACTGATGAAAACTGTACTTTGCTCTTATGTTTCTACCATGCAAAATAAGCAAAAATCCATTTAACGCTAAATTTAACATTATTTTTCTGTCTACTGAAAATCATCTGCAACTACTAGAGAGCATCAAGTAAGAAGCACAGGTATAGGGAAGCACATCTCAGAAAGTCAGAGGTACAATTGTCTCAGGGAGGCATGAAATCCACTGACACTAATGCACAGCCATGTGCTTGATTTGCTCAGCCTGTTCTCTCCCACCTACTCATACAGGTATAATTCTTTTACTGCTCTTTATACTTCAAAACACTGTAATGTTTTTATAGTCTGTATTGACATTGTTTTTATCCCAACTTTAACAACTCCATCCATTGCCAAAGAGCTTGAAGGAAGTGATACATCAGTATTCATTTATGGAATGTTTGCATAATAGTTTTTATTGCAATGAGCAATGGTACAGGTTTATCTGTTGTTTTTCATGACAAATAAGATCATGAGCAATGTTGAATTTTTACCTCAGATAAGAAAACACACGTAAAATTTTCTTTCTTACTGAACAGAAGAGCATATCTTAGTAAACTCAAATATCTAAAACAAGCGCTATCATCTCATAGCTGGAATACATTTTTTACCTAGTATTTCATTATTGGGGCATTTACAGTTTCCTTTTGAAGTCAGGCCTCTGGGGCAAGTAATGCAATTCCATCCATCTTGAGTAACTCCACTCTAAAATAAAATATAAAACATTCGAATTTTCAAAAATATAGAGATCATCCAGTATCTGAGAAGAATAACTTATCCAGCCTTTAGTTACTAGAAAATGCGTTCAGATAAAACATCAATAACATTAATGAAGCTTTTAAAGATAAAAAAGGCTAAACAATCTGGCAAAAGTAATTCTGAGCAAACACACACAAAAAAGTTAAGCTCTTCTGAACCTGTTAGCTTACATCCTTCAGGGAAAATGAAAAGTAGAATGTTTAAAAAGAGATACATTGAATAAACATAATAATGCATACATAGACATTTTGCATATAAATTGCATGTTGCAATTGCATATAAATATATAGAAGTAATGGAAATTGAAGCGTTCTAAATGAAGTAGCTTATATTATTGTTTGGAATTTTGTACCTACCCAGACAGTTCACATCCACACTTATTTTATACTATGAAGTAACTGCATTACAGATAAAACCACTGAGGAAAATTAAGACAAGTCTCATCCTCAAGTGCTACTGATGCTACTCCCTTCTCCACTATGACCATTTTATCTTTGCAAAAGCCTTGACAGTAGATCAAAGGCAAATGCCACCATTGCAAGAAAGACGAAAAAACAGCAAAAGATGACAACAAAAAGGATACAAAGTCTTTGTCTAACACAGCAAGAAGATGGAAAGAAAAGGGAAATTACCTACATAGCCCATTAGCCACTGAACACCTAACTCGGGCAAGTAAGCTGCTCTCCTGAGAGTTCTTCTACCGCTATTGAAGAGAAACAAGTATTCAGGAAGGCTTCACCCTCAAAAGTTGATTTGATGGAAAAATACATTTCTTTGCTTACTATAGTGGGAAAAAAATCTGTTCCAGCCTGGTGTCTCTGGATCAATGCTGAGATTATGACACAAAATTGTAACTTAATTTGTCAAGGAAGGTCAGAAGAACTGATCAAATCATAACTATAATTCAAGTAACATAGTAGGAGCAGCTCATTTTGAAGTAAGAAGATAAAATATTGTGGATTATGAAGATACAGCCTAAATATCACAATAATGGTATTTACATAAATAATCAGTTAAGATATCTATGAGCTGAAAAGCATCTTCAACATTGTTCAGAGTTGTGCTCTCTGAACAAGGACAAAGCAGAGAACAAAAGTGGTGGAAGAAACTAAAACACTTAAAAAATTCTTATTTTGTCTGTGGGGTCAAATTTGTAATGAAAAAGGCAAAATAATAGAAATAGACAACTCTAAATAGGAAAAAAAATACTGCATATAAACATGGTCTTAGAAATTCTCAATCAAAGACTATGATGCAAAAAATACTTTAAATTAATGAAAAATAACTTGAAGTCAGGACAAAATTTAAAATTAAAAAACCCATAGTGGTTATGACTACTATTCTATCATGATGGCAAACATGAAACATTCAATACTCACCATATTTTCTGGGCATTTTTCACAAGGAACAGAGAACCCACCATTACTAGAAACCATCCTGTATCCTGGCTCACATTCACAGGAACTACCTGAAGAAAACAGAACAAATGCACTTTTAATCTACATAGAACTGACTGGTTGTAAGAGAATATGAAGAACAACTACTATTGCTCTCAAGAGATCAAGATGGACTATTTGATAGACACATAAAACACTTGAATGAGATGTGAATGAAAATCATCTTGCTTTTTAAAAAATACCCATTTTTTGAAAAATGCATATTACAGTTTGCATATAGATATTTTAGGAGAATGTTACAAGGCTGACTGATATACCAGGGTGGAACAGTGATACAGAGCTTGTATTTTGTGGGTTTTTTAATGAAACCAAATTTTACCAGTTGGTCTGTAAGAGATATAATCTCTCCATCTAAATCTTGCCACAGCCTTTTCTCACTACAACATCAGTATTATATGTATATATTATATGTGTTTGTATACAGCTTTTATTTTTTCAATTTGAAGTAATTCCTAAAACCAAAATGTGTTCCTATGAAAAGGTTTTTCAAAATATAACTGTTGTATGAAAAGCTGTTTTCAACTCAAGGCTTTTAAAATTGTGCATGGGAATCAAGGTTCATACTGAATGGTTTTCAGTGAGTGAACACAACATACTTAACATTTTGTATTAAATTAAACACTCTTTTCGCGGCACAGTATAATGCCCACCTGCTAATGCTAAACAACTTTTTTTTTAGAAACTTTTCCTGTCTCAGTGTCATGAATTTCCCTCTGTACTTTTAAACACATACCAGAAACCAAAATTGATTATATGTACTAATTAATTGTTTTTATGGTTTAAGCTTATTGAACTGTGCAGGCAAAAATAATGCCAAATTCTGTGGAAAATTTTATAACTTTAAATTACATTCTAATGAGTCCAGCTGTACAGACACATTTGTCAAAGTGATCAAACATTTCTACTTAATTCTAAAGAAGAAAAAGCCCAATTGGATTAGATCAATGAAAAGTTTGAGTTGTGACACTCACAGTGACAATACCCAGATTTTTAGGGATGTCACCTGAAAGCAGAATCCAAGCTGATGAGCTAGCCAAGGAGGGTATGGGCAATCACAAGATGCAAACAGCACTGAGCAGCACCTATCTACACTGCTCCAGCGAGATCTGCAGGAAAAAATAAACCCTTGACCTCCCCTTGGAATTCTCCTCTGCTTGAAGCCCTTTATTTAGAGGAAGATTCAGCCTAAAAAGGAGCTATGGATCTAGACACCCACATTATCAGGGGATCTGAAAACAAATAGTATATTTTTTTCCAGTGAGTGAACTATGGGGTCAGTCTTTAGGACACCATGGTGGTGGTGGAGGTGAGCAGCTTCCACGGAGCAGCCGTGAGCACAGCCAGCTTTCCACACATCACTGCTTTCCACAGAGTACCAGCCCTGCAGAGAGAGCTTCTTGGGTCTCAGGCTCAAATTTGTACACACACCAGGGAACTCCCACTCTTGTTGGACTGTGTGTTTTATGAAAGATGGACCCTTTAATACCTCCTTATGCCCTAAGGAAAGCAGTTAGCTGTCTGTGTTTTCCATTCAGTACTGCCAGGCTGTGCTGTATGTGCTCCAAGTTCCCGTGTGCACTAGCACAGGCACAGCACGAGGATCTGACACCTGGTATCTCAGACATTCAAGTCTGACAAGGAGTTTAAAGTTACAGAAGTGATCGAGAACATAAATTCAGGGTCCTGTAGAATTTTACAGATAAAAATACAAATACAGTATAATGCTTGAGAAAAAAAAAATTATTAGAAAAAGATCGAAAGTCATTTTTCTGAGCTGCATCTCAGATACATCACAGCTGTGCTGGGGCCTCTCAGGTCTCTGCGGGCTCCCGGCCCTTTCGCGGCTTTCCCAGACGCGTTTTACCGCCACCGGCGGAGCCCGACCGCGCACCGCCCGCTGCTGGGGCAGATTCAGCGCGGAGCCGCCCGAGCCCCGCCTCCCCCACCGCTCACCGCCGGCGCTCTGCCGCTGGTGGGCCCCGCAGGGCGCGCAGGCCAGGCGGGAGCTGTCGAAGTAGCGGTCGGCGCCGCAGTCGGCGGGGCGCTGCAGCGGGACGGAGAAGCCGCGGGCGGGGGGCAGCGCCGCCGACACCGCCACGAGCAGCGCGGCAGCGGCGGCGGCCCCGCGGCCCCGCGTCGCCATGGCAGCGCGCGCCCCGCCCGCGCGCGCCCATTGGCCAGAGCCGCGCGCTACGGCGAGTGCCGGGGGCCCGCCGCCGCAACACGCGAAGCGTCCGCGGGGCGGGGCGGGGCGGGTGCACTAGCCCGAGTTTGTGTGCTTGGTGTACTGAGAGTTTTGTTCGTCTTGTGCGAGACCAGGAGCGAGAAACGAGAGGACACCGCGGCCCTTTTTGCACTTGCCCGGTACCTCGGCTCTAAAGCTGATGCACAGTGTATCATCCCAATGGAACACGTGTTTGTAATTTCTCCACAGAGAGGGAAGGGGTAACAAGGTGAAAACACAAAATGTCTAGAGCAATGGATGGATACTCAGCCAGTGTTACTCCCCTTTACCTTTTACACCTTTGTCACACTCTTGTTCACATCCCACAGAAGCACAGAATGAGTCTAGTTGGAAAGGAGCACAGTAGGTCATCTGGTGCAACCTCCCTGCTCAAGCAGGGCCATCCCAGAGCACATGGCACAGCACTGTGACCAGAGAGCTCTTGAATATCTCCAGTGAGGGAGACTCCACAACCTCTTTGTGCAGCCTGTTCCAGTGCACCCGCACATTAAAGTTCTTCATGCTCCGGTGGAACTTTCTGTGCCTGTTTCTGCCTGTTGCCTTTTGCCTCATTCCTTTACCAAAACTTTGCAAGACACCATGTCCTGGATTTTAGTTATTTCTTATTGTCCCTCTCCTGTGTGCTAATTGCCTAATTATTATGATTTTCGACATGACATGCTTTATTTCTCACTGGATTTATTTTGTTGGCTCAACAACTGTTAAAAGGTTGAGTTTATGTTTTCAAGTAGAATTACCCGTCTCCAGACTCAGGTTCATGTAAATTTGACTGCACAAAGACGTAACCGTTTTACTGGTGTGCTTGATTTCTGGAAACCCCCACCTTGTTCCCCGCACAGAATAAACACTATCTTTTTTCTAAACAAGATTCTATCTGTGTTGAGAGAGCTCCTAAAGTTGGCAACATTCCGAGGTGAATCTATCATAAATAGTACAGGGGTTTTTTTCCTACGTAAAATGGAGCAGACATGTACAGGATATGCATAAACAGACGGGAGAGCGCAAAGTCAGGGAAGGCAGGTAGGATAAACATTAGGATAAATATACCTCGGTTGCACAACCAAGGGACTCTGCCCTTCCCTTTACTTAATCTTGAACCCTTTCTCCTTCTCCTCCATTCGTGCATCCCCGCTCTCCCCTCCTCTCAGAGCCCAGGCCGGAGCCAGCCCCGAGCCGCGTTCCAAACCGTGCCGAGCTGTCGGACCCGCGGCCCTGAGCGGCGCCTGAGCTCGGCAAGAGCCGGCACCGACGGGAACGGGCCTAAGCGCAGCGCACAGCGCGGCAGCGGCGCCCGGTCACCGTGTGACGGATCTCTACACACACATCGGTCACGGTACAGGTCTGTCACTACGCATAGCTACAATCAAAGCGGTGTATTAATACACAGATCCCTCAGATCTACTGAGGCAGGGAGCGCGCTCCCGCCTCCAGGGCAGAGAGCGCGTGCGCACTGCCTGCGGCGCGGCTCGCGCCCGCGCACTGCAGCGGAGGGGGCGGGGTCGCCCCGCCCGGAGGGTGCGCGCGCAGGTCGGCGCTCGCGCAGCGCAGCTTCCCCTCAGCGTTTAGGGGGCCAGTGGAGGCGGCGCCATCTTGGCGGAGCCGTGCCGGGAGCTGCGGCGCTCGCTGAGCGGCGTGTCCGGTGGGTGCGTGGATGGATGGCGTGAGGGACAGAGCACGCCTCCCCTGGGTGCGGCGTGTGGCCGAGGGCGGCGCGAAGTTTGCCGGTTCTCGGTTACCCGACCTTCGCGGAACCGCTGCGCGGCCGCTCCCTGTGCCCCGGCCCCGTGTACCCCGGCTTTCTCGTGTCTCTGGGCTTCCCACCCCACTTCCCTGCTCCCGGTGCTTCCCTCAGCCCTGTCCCGGTGTCGGGAAGCAGACGGGCTTCTTCATGGGGGCGCAGCAGCGGCGGCTCTGGCGGGCCGCAGCGCGTGTGGCGCGGGGCGCCCTCCCCTCGGCCCGTGCCCGGCCCTGCCGCCCGCCGCGGGTCTCCAGCAGCGCCGGGGCCGGCGGGCCGACCTGCTGGGAAGCGCTTCCGTGCTACGTTCGACCGTGTAGCGGGGCCAGGTGCAGAGCTCACTCATGTTTTCCTTCCGCACTGTGCAAACTGCTATTCGCAGCAGCCTGCTTCCTCTATTGAGTCTTATTTTGAAGAATAGGATAAGAAACCTTCCCTTGTTCCGCTGGTTATTCTGTACTGGTCCAGTTTCGTAGACGGGGTGTTTCTGTGGGTGTTCTTTCTAGGTTGCAGTGTGTGTGTAATCTTTCAGTGTTATGATAAAAATCCTAGTCTAGTGCAGACTTAGTTTCCTACTGCGTTTATAAGTTGTGGATTATTTTAATTGCTTTAATGTTTGGAATTTCCTGAGACTGTGGAAGAATAGGTACTGTACTGCTTTTTAACCAATTTTGCTCATATATAAAATTTCATAAAACTGTTCACTTCTGTGCTTTTAAGCTATGGCATGAAGTTGTTTATTTATTCTCCAAATCCTTGCTTTCTGAAGCCTTGTTCAGTTAATGAATTGCTCTTACTTTCCACGACAAGTCAAATATTTTTGGTTATGCACTTTAAATTTGGATGGCTTGTCTGTGCTTTCTATCCATGTGTGATGGTTTACTGTACAGTCAGTAAGAGCTATGATTTGAACTTGCACTTGTTTGTGGACTTGTTAGAGATCCCATTATGATCTCAACCACTGGTCTGGTTTTCACCACTGAAGGTTGTGTATTGTATCCCTGGTGCATCGTGGAGAACTTGCTGTTTATCACCGAAGAAATATGGAGGAGAGCTGTTGTGAATGATGTTTAAAAATTGGGATAAGAAAGCGGAGTTATGAATCCAGAAGTACTACAGATTAAATACATCACGAAGTAGCAGGGCAGTGGATTTGCTTTCTCAAGACATGAAGGTGCTGTATGAAAATTCTGCCCTTGAATTCTCCATGCTTTTTTGGCACTGTCATTGCATCTGTTGAGAAGACACGTTGTAAAGTGTTCTGGGTCTGGCTGGGATGGAGTTAACGTTCTTCACAGCAGCCCATACAGTTGTTTGGATTTGTGGCTAAAGGAATGTTGACAACACATCGGTGTTTTGGCTGTGGCTGAACAGTGCTTGCACAGTATCAAGGCTTTATCGATGTTCCCTACTCTGTTCCTGCAGTGAGTGTGCTCAGAGTAGGTGAGAAGCTGGGAGGGAACATGGCTGGGACAGCTGACCCAAACTCACCAAAGGGATATCTGTGACATGTAACATCATGCTGGGCAACAAAAACGGAGGTAGAGGAAGAAGTATTTAAATGGCTTTGGTTTCTATCTTGGCTCCCAAGGCAGTTGTTATGTGGAGGAAGGCTGGACATCAGTCAGCCTGTGGGAGGTGGTGAGTGATTTCCTTTGTTTTGTGTTTTTCTTTCCACCAAGGAAACTGTCTTTATCTTGACCCACAAGTTTTCTCGACTTTGTTCTTTCCCATCCCACTGATGGGAGGAGGAGTGAACAATCAGCTGTGTGGGTGCCTGGCTGCTGGCTGAGGTCGACTCACCACAAAAGCACAGAGAACAGATGGTCTTCAGTGAAGTTTGTAAATGGGCAGTTGTTTTCGGTTTGTTGTGCTTACGGAGTACTGGTGCAGAAGTGACATGGAGTCTGTTAGTGACAGAATTGGGGCTTTGCTCTTGTTTTGCTACGTTCAGGTGGAGTGGCAGTAATGGTTGTTGGTAGGTTACTCGTTATCAGGATGTGGTGCTTTACAGAGCAGGGTTTGTAGGAGTGTTTGCAAATGCTCAGAGCATTGGGCTGTTGTGTTTGTTTTAAAGGGATGCAGTCATTTGCTACAGAGGCTTGTGTTTGTTCTGAGAATATTGTCCTATTTATTGTGTGATGTTGGAAAATGTTGAAAATCAGGGTATGTTAAGTCAGTGTATTCAAGGTTCTCTTGTTCTTATGTTTGAAAGGCAGTAGAGTAAGGATTTAGGGAAAATACTGAAGTTGGCTTGGTAATAAATTCAGGTACATTGTGACGTTTCTCCTTGTTGGGTATTTTTGCTCTTTCATTTGATGGGCTTCACTGTGTACGTTAAGTGCAGTGCTGGACTGGTGAGTAGCATACTCTTGGGAAGTTTGAATCCACGTGGATTTCAGAAGAATGGACATGTCATGTAATCCTGAGATGGACCTAAGCACCTTCCAAGAACTCAGTTGAGAACTGTTCCCTCGATACATTGTCTGTTTCATTGCAACAGTTCAGTGTGGCACAATTGATGACCAAGTAATCTCATCGTATTTTCATCGTTTCCAGAAGTCAACTTAAATTATGAATTTCTTTTGCTTCTAAAATGGAAACAGAAAGACGTGGTGCATGGCATCTTGGAACATGGAAGGAGTTCTTCACATGGGTTCATAACATGCTTGGCTTTAGTATTAGCCACAGCTATGGATGGGCTGCAGCAGTGTAGCACAGTGTGTAAAGCAAAGTACAGGTATCAGCCATTAATTATGTTTCGTTTTCTTTCCACAGTCAAGTTGATTTTACAGAATTTATCAGGTCTCCAAAGCAGAAACAGGTAAGCTGTCAAAAGCTTAACACTTCTCACTGAGTATTGTGACAAGATCATACACAGCCTTTTTTCCTCACAGACTTGTGGCTGGCAGCTAGGATATGCTTGTGGCCACTGCAGTTAATACTCTGACTACGCCAAAGAGACAACATTTTTGAATGCTGAGAAAACATACATTATTGAACAGAACTGACCACTGGGTAGAGCAACTTGTCAAAGCAGTAAAGTCATCATTGTTTGTTTGTGAGTTACTTCATTTTCCAGTGACATAGTTATTCTTTTTCCTTTCTCCTTTTATCAATTAGTGTCCTGATCAAAAGTAAACCGGATTTTTTTTGTTCCTTA